TTTGCTGTACAGTCTATGTATACTAACATCAGAAGAGAAAAAACATTCACGACACCACTGGAGATCTTGGAAAAAGAAGATGACATCCTGGAGGCTGAGCGAATCCGAAAAGAGTCTTTAACTCGATTAATCTACCTGACAATCAACCTGTTTTACTTTCAACAGCCGCATCTGTGCAAATATTTCGTCTGCCTATGGGTTCACTACTTTCAGTTTTGTTGCCTAAAGTCTACATGGACAAGTAGGAGGTGTATTTGAAGGCGTTCTGGTCGCATGGAAAAGATAAATTAGAGGATTTCCTGATCTTCATAAGCGAAAGGGATGAAAAAATCAAATTTATCATGGATATGCAAGAGAACGGACAGTTAACTTTCTTGGATGTAGAGGTTATTTTTTCAGAGGAAATTCTCAAGAAATGACTTCCTAAAGGTATAGCATGCTAGAATAACTCTTAGCTTCCAGTTTAACTATACATATGGAATAAAAATGGGAATACTCCTGAGTATGGTCATAAGAAACATACGGCTCACTGATTCTGAGTTCTAGGAAGAGGAACTGGTAAAACTAACTCAGTTGTGGATATCCAGAAGAAGCAATCCAACACAACATACAGATGGTGATAAACTGATGAAAGGACTTAAAAAGGGGAGCTGAATGAAGGTCAGGAGCCCCGCCAAGGTCACCTGGTACCATTGGTGGAGATGACTAAACCCACTTGTAGCGAAACACTTAGGCGATATTGGAGGAATCGAGAGCACAAAATTGTATGAATATGTAAAAGGGTTATATCAAGTGCGGTTGGGAGAAAGAAATACAGCACTAGAAGATAGAACAAAAAATAAGGGTGAGGAATGATTCCACAACGGTTAAACAGAAAATGGATCAATGGGATTGCCTTCACCTGTCACTTTGATAATTTGTAATTCTATGCCGGCGAAACGTTTGGAACTGTACCAAGTCAAAGGTCATATACTAGACATAACGAATAATATGGCAGAGGACACAGGACTGGGTAAGTTCCACACAGACTCCTTGACGCTCCTACTAATTTGCGAAAACGAGGTCGAACTAATACAATCAATCCTCAAACCTGTAGATCTTCCCATTAGTTTGTCTTAAGTTAGCTTATTTTTTAGCTATTTCATGATTCTCTTATTATATTGGCTCATTCGCTATTTCTGCTTGTATTGAGTACCTATTTTACTATATTATTGTCTTATTAGTTTATATACCTTCGTTTTATTTTTATAGAATACAATGGATCCAAAGGCATGGCCTACTCATCTTGATCTGGACGAATTGCCGCCTGAGCATCTGGCCGAACTAATTAATTATAATCAATCTGATTTCTTTTTGCCTCACCAACACAATTACAACCCTGAACTGTCTGTTCCTCCTCCACCCTACTGCTTCACAGCGCACCGATGCACACATAATATGCAACGCAAACACTGCCAAGCAGATATCGCCTACTATAATCAAGGAACCTTTGGAGCATTAAGCAGCTTGCACTGCGATTTTTGTATTACTCGGCAGGCAGATTTTTACCAGTCTGGACATGGTTTGGCCACCGAGCCAATGACCCGCGAGCGATTCGCTTCAAATATCTCCGAGTTGGAGGGCGGTTTTCATGTAACTTCTAATGAGAAATTGCCGCCAAGTGCTTTAGCTCTCGCCTCTAGATCAATTCTTCATGACATCGCTGGCGACGTTGCTGTCAAGCCGGCAAGTGGGCTATCCTCCAACTCTGACGCGAGTTTCTACTCTGTATCGCTAGGTCTGGTGCCGCATCTTCTACCACTTGATCTGTTAGACCACTTTGATAGACCAGATTGCGTAGTGATTGATCTACGGAGTAGGGCAGAATATGCAAGGCGAGAAACCCATTTGTTCTATATCGAGTACTTGAAAATAATCTTTATTCTTATACTATTACCTCCTGTATTCGTAAGACCTTTATCTTTCAGAATTTCATACCCTTATCTGGCAGCATTATTTTGGAACCCTTGTGTCCTCGTTTGTTTTAGATATTTTTTATTCTGAGCCTTTGCATTTGTCTACCTTTACCACTTTAGAAAAGAGTAATTTTCGAGATTATCAGTAGTTTTTTAACAAAGACTTGGTTACTAGAGGCCGTACAATGTGATTCAATGACTGTTATTGGAGTTTTTCCCTCACGATGCCATTGGATTTCGCATAGCCTTGTCTTTCAAAATGATTTCTTTAGTCTGGATTGCTTCTTTCCATGGTTGGGAATTTAATTTTTTTAATAAACCAAACTTTATAAATCCCTTTAGAAATTGCTTCGTCGTAACTATTTTATATTTAAATTGATTCTTCTGATTTATTCGACCCCCTGTACACCTTAGGGGTTGTCTTCCCGGCAGCATACATCGTCCTGAAGTTGATTTATCCGGCTACTCGACCGATGAAATTGATTCTGGCGAACTACTTATCCCTTCCCTTAATTCCTGTCCGGAAGTTAGATTATCTTCGTCCACCTCTTCAGTTGATTTTTCCGGGAGCCGGGGGGTAACATCCTCCACCACAACTATGGACATTCCTTCAGCTACCCAACAAATCACGGCCATTCTTCGTGCATTGATAATGGGCATTATGTCCGAGCCTACCTGGATCAAAGCAGCCGCTGCCCGCCACAAAGCGTCTCAGCTTCGAGATGCGGCTTTCAGCATATCCCCATTTGGTGTTTATATTTCACCAGGTGCCATTATTTAACTAACAATTAATTGTGTATTTTTCTTCTAATATAGCTTAAATAGGTAAATTTGGCATTTATTTTTTTGAACCTGAAATACTTCATTGCCATAAACTTGAGCCTGACCCACTTCAGCATGGACACTGCTCAGTTCTTCGGAGTTACTTTATGTTTCATTCATATTTTTATTATTCGATAATGGAAGCATAGCTTAAATATTAATTGTATTTTCTCTAGGTCACGTAAAGTGATAAAGGACTGTTGGCTGAATTTTTCCTAACCCTTTACAATGCCATGGAATCTCAATTAGCCTTGATTCCCGAAAGTTATTCTCATCCAGGATGGGGAAAAATTTTGACTCGCTTATGTCTTACCAGAGCATAACCAGGAATCAGATCTTGGCGGGGAAGCGTATATTTTCTATATGTTATCACAATACCACATTACCATGGATGCCTCTAGTTCACATGTAAGGCTTGACTTTCAAAGCAAATTAGGCCGCTTTAATATCGCAATGATAGTAGAAGTATCGTTGATGCAAATTTGAATTTGCCGCTTCATTTGTTCCACTGACTCTCTGACTATTTAATGGCGGTTATGGTGAAAATGTGTGCCTTAGTGTCCTGGTTTGATTACCGTTCGGGTGCTTATGAGGCCTATGCGAGGTCGAGATTGTTGTAAACTTGAGAAGAATATCTTTCGATAGGTAAGGTCAGGTGAAATTGAGTGCTAGCGTGAGGCCTATTCATATCAATGGGGGAAAATCCAACTACCAATTTTTATCGCCTTATGTTGCCTAAGGGTGAGCATACTTTTTGTTTTTTGCTCTATATTTTTTGGATATTCACTAGAATAAGGATAATATTATGATTTATATTGATGTTCGTTGGCACTCTTAATTCCTTAGACCAGTGATTCCCAAACTGTGCGCCGCGGCGCCCCGGGGAGCCGCTGCCTCTTTACAGGGGCGCCGCGAAATATTTTAAAAGCTTTAATTTGAGAAAATGTGTAGTGATTTGCAGGCTCATCCATCGCATAAATTATTAAATGTTAATTTAATGTTAATACAGTAAAAAATAATGAAGATACGCGAGTTTTATTTTGTTTATCTCTTACTTTCGAGTAGTCATACTTAGGGTAGGGCGCCATTGAAACATTTTAATTGAAAAAAAGCGCCGCGACTAGGAAAAGTTTGAGAACCACTGCCTTAAACCCTACACACCTGCTCACTTATGTCACTTGAAGTGACTCATAAGAATTTTACTCTTGGTCATCGCTGTTCCTAGTTCTGGTCATTCTTCCTAGTCAGTTTTGATCTATTTTGAGCTATAGTGTCATTTAGTTGTTCTAAATTTATTGTTGGCTGTATGCTTGTTTCTATAAGAATTCGGTTACTATTTACATCTTGTCTGTACGATATGTCATTACTTCTGCATAGATTTGATGTTAGACGCTTTTATCGATAAGCTTAGTGGTATGGTAAAAGAATGGTTTTCGATTAAAATTAATAATGATTTGAATAGGAAATGTCTGCCTTTGCAGGTGAGGCTTCAGGAGCATACCTCAACTGAATTCACCATGGTAGGATTATGTGCATATGCCTTTTATTTCTACTCAGTCCTATCATTCTTTGACTACATTTTTGCGACATGATTGTATCTTATTTCATTTTAAGGCAAATTCTATTATTTTAGCTTGAATTTCATTTAGTTTGAAAGTGCGCATTGAAGTGATCTACACCCTTCTTGAATCGTTATAAGCTTAAAACGTATTTAAATGTTTCTCGAATCTGATGATCTCTACTCCTAACAGATAAAAGCGGCACTCGCTTATCAGAAACTAAATTCGTCATCTCGAGGACTGCTTGATTAAGAATTCTCCCGGAAAGCCAAACGATAGACAAAGAGAAAGGTGTCATCGTTTTCTGATGTTATCGACATCCAAATCCCTTCATCACGCACTTTTAAACGAAATGGAAATCAGATCAACATTGCAATAACAAAGGGTTTCTCAAAAACATGTTTTTTTCTATACTCCTAGGTACATCCTCAGTTGCCGCTGAAAACAGCACAACAAATTCCTCAATTGGGCAGCCTTTAGACTCATCAACTCCAGGCCTGGTTGTTTTTCTTGGTTCTAATGCTCTCGATCCATTACCTCTGCGATTAGCTGCCATCTTTATTGATCATAGCATAGATCGTTGCTGCCATCTTTATGGAGGTGCAGAGGATCTCTTTAAGCTACCTGCCTTTCTTTGTCGTTTGGTTCTGCCTTCTTGCGGGTAGCTGTATAACTAAATTTCCTTGCGAAATTATTTTCCATCTTTGGCTCTTCGTTTTTCAAATGTTCAAATTATTTACCCCTTTAAGTCCTCATCTAATTATTTTAACTGTGATTATGCCTCTCTAAAACATGTTATTTATATTTTTATAATGCACATTTGTACCTCTATTAATTGATTTCCGAATTATTTTTCAACCGCATCTGTTAGTCTATTAATATTTCTAAGGCTGATAACTTTCTATAAAAACTATGGCGAGGACTTCCTTGTCAATAAATTTAATTGTCTAATTAATTTTGATGAATTTGCTTCTCCAATCCTTTATAATGGAACACTTTTACTGGAACCCAACTCATCATAAGGAGCTTAGAGAATTAGCCTATAGGTTACATTTATATAACCCTCCTATAACATATACTCTAACTTAACTCGTTTACGTAGACATGTAGAAAAACTAGTTTTCCAAGAATTCTTTCGTGAATCGATGTTGGAATACCTTTTATTTCGTTTGAAGAGGCGGGTGGAAGGGATTCGTATGTTAGTCTCACTGGAAGTTGTAGGTGTATTGCCTTGGAGTTGTGACTGTAGATCTGTGCGAATACGTCCTCAGCACACCCCCCGATGAATCCTTGCTGAGCTTTCTTCCGTCATGTGACGGACATCGTCAAAACAGGACACCATGCTTGACGATTATTCACCAAAATATGAAGGCAAGAAAAATGGCCGGTTTCAAACTTATCTGCTTTTCATAGTCCATTTTGATCTACTTACTTAGGGATCCCATGTTTTGGTTGGATATTCTATGCTTCGCCTAAATGTCTGCTCAAAAGTTGAGTTAAGTTGCTGGATGTAACATGCCAAGTGGCTGCGGATTGTGACCGAATAGCTGCATCCTCCTCTAAAACACTTATTATTTATTCCTGTGATGTTACCGCATGTTATTGCATTCAATTGCACACGTGTTGTGTGATGTGAGAGTCAATACCAGATCTAAGCCTAATAAAGCCTCTTGCTCGGTGGTACTTCTCGGTTTCCCCACCCCTGTCTCCTATTTAACAGCTAAAATTAGCTTCCATATAACTTTCCATACTCATTCCTTTTATTCAGAGAGTTGGCTGTTTTGTTGATTTCTACGGCTTCATTACCCTTTCTCTTACTGCTTTAGTACCCATATTTAACTAAGCGCTTTATACTATATCGGTCTATCTGGTGTCTACCAGCCATGTGCTCAACCAATTCCGAATTTTTGACCCACAGACCCCTGCAGGCTGTTTTGTATTTAGATAACTTCTTATGTACAAGCCTACAGGTCTCTTCTACATACGCGCTACTGGTTATTACTTTAGCTAATTCCTTGCGATTTTATCAGCATATCAGCAGCCTTATCGGTGCGAAATATATATCCCAATAAAGTCTAACCAATTCACAACCAATCAAGCTTTCTTACTGGCTGCATTTGATGTTATGAAAAGGTCGTATAAAGCTATAAAATCATATGAATATTGATCGAGATGTTGCGACTCAGATTTTAGTACTTATGCAATTGTGATGATCAGTCTTTTTGTCTTAACACAGGCGTAAAACTATATATGAGAAAATTTGATGAGTATACGAACTCTGATATTAAAATATACTTCTGGTCCTACAAATTTTAACACTGCCTCAATGTATACTTTATTAAAAATCAAAGCAACA